CCGGGGCTGGGGGTGCTGCTGCTAGGAGCGCTGGTGGGGCCAGGGGGTCCTGTGTGGAGATGGGGAACGGGTGCCCAAAGGGAGGTCCCAGAGCCCTTGCGTCTGAAAATGCCCTCCTTGTCCTGCCCTATAATAGAGGAGAGAGTGAAACGAATGTCTTGCAGGCACAGAGGCAAATTTCTTTGATTAAAAACCCAGCAAAGTAGGTCACTTGTGGAATAAGAAACGAAGCAGCAGTGTTGTCATCCCTGGAGAAGGCAGGCGTCTTGGTGGCGGGGCTCTGGTGATGACCTCCTCTCTGCAGCAGCGAGGAACCAGCCCACCATTTGCAGGGGTACTTGCTGGGTGGAACGCCGTCCTGCAGCGCTGGCCGCTGGAGTCAGGGCTGCTTTTCCCTGCAGCGGGCTTGGGGCAGGATGAGGCTTCTCCTGGCAGGGCCGGTGAGGTGACTTCATCCTGAGCTGACTTCTTCCCCCTCTCTTCCAGGTGGGGCGATGAAGCTGAACGAGCGAAGCGTGGCCCACTATGCCACCTGTGACTCACCTGCTGACCATGCTGGCTTCCTCCGCAAGCGGGTAGAGCGGCACCACCACCATGCCCACCACCACCACGCCCCCTCCTACCAGCGCCGCTGGTTCGTTCTCAAGGGCAACCTCCTCTTCTACTTCGAGGAGCGGGAAAGCCGGGAGCCTGTGGGGCTGGTGGTGCTGGAAGGCTGCACTGTGGAGCTGTGCGAGGCCACCGAGGAGTTTGCCTTCGCCATCCGCTTCGATGATGCTGGTGCCAGGGCTTACGTGCTGGTGGCCGACGGGCAGGCTGCCATGGAGGCCTGGGTGAAGGCACTCTCACGGGCCAGCTTCGACTACATGCGGCTGGTGGTGAGGGAGCTGGAGAAGCAGCTGGAGGAGGCCTGCAAGAGCTTGGCTGCTTGCCGCAAATCTCCACGGAGGTCATCCTCCTCCAGCAGGAAGAGGCACCTCTCCAACCCTGCCTTGCTGCCTCTCCAGGAGAAGCCCGCCATCCTGGAGAATGGTTACTCCACGTGGGGCAGCAGTGGTGGTGTCCCCGGGGGGGCTGCTTTGAGGGTGGGCCCGCAAAGCCCCCCCCCCTGCCTCCACGCCGGCGGTCGGCCGCTGGCAGTGCTGTGGGGTCCCCAGCACCCGGCCTCTCGCCGGCCATGCCAGAGAGCCCTGTGTCACCGGAGACAGCATGCTTCTCCAAACTGCACAGCTGGTATGGGCAGGAGATCGTGGCGCTGAGACGAGAGGCAGAAGATGGGACACCCATGACCAGGGGCACGAGCCACTGGCCAGACGATGCCCAGCAGCCCGTCTCCCATGCGGGAAGAGCGAAGCGAGCGATGCTGCTTGCCCCCTGCCCTGGTCAGTGGCTGAGTGTGTGGTGTGTGTGTGCTTCACGGGGTGTGCGGGAGGGACCCGGGTCTTCCCCAAACCTCACATTTCATTTCCATGAGGCTTTATACAGCTGGAGACTGTGTAACACCAAGGAAGCCACCTTTGAACTCTTCCTCCGCTGGTGATACGAGGTGTGGAGGGGGCCCACATTGGGACGTATGCCACTCACCCAGTGGGCTTGGCCTCTTGCCATCCTGGCGTGGTGGATGCTCTGAGTGCTTCATCGCCCTCCTCTCCTTCACCACTTCTTTTGGTTTTGTTTCTCAGCGTGGAAGTTTGCACAGGTCTTCCACCAAAGTCCTTCTGCCTTTGCTCTTTCGCCACAGATAAGGCTGGGCTTTTATGAAATGCCTCCAGTGGGCCACTGGCTGTGGTGGGTGCCTCCAGCCTTGTGCCTCTCTTGCCACAGGACACGTGTGAGCCACTGCGGCTGTGGCTGGTCCAGCAGCCGGGGTAATGAATACTGGGCTCTTGCATCATCATTTTTTTTTTTTTACTTTCATCTGCACTAATGCTCCTCCATGCTAAATCCATTGGGATGTGGTTTTCACAGGCTTGCATGTGTCTCTTTGCGTGCCTCTTTGCATGCCTGAGCTCTGCAGCGAGGCTGAAATGGAGACATCAAGCCTGGTCTGAAGCAACAGTGAGGACCAGGAGCTCCTCAGGGCTGCTCTGGACTCTGTCAAATGGTAGCCAAGCCTATGAATATCTCTGGCTCAAGCCTTCCCTGTTCCAAAACAGGGATGCTAAAGCCTCTTTCCTTGGTCAGGGGTGAATTTCTCAGCCGCCGCGCAGACTGTAGCTCTTGCAAAGTGCCATATAGGGCTCAGCTGGCTTATTGGGCAACTTGCCCGAGATGGTGTCCAGAGCTGCACTTTTGCAGGGCCTCTCTCACTGTTGTGGCTCCTGGCAGAGCCGTGCAGAGGAGAAGCTGTGGAGGAGCAGAGAAGAGGAGAGGGCTCGTCCCAGGAAGAGAAGTGAAGGTGTGGGAGTGAGTTACAGGTAGCACTGCCTGCGTGTCAGCAGTGTCTGGACTTGCCCCTCTAGCGTCAAAGCCATATCGCTGCCTTCTACCAAAGCCAGCACCTGACCTGCTGGTGCTTCCCTCTGATTTCATGTCAGCATCACTCGGCTGATCTCCGTAGCACGTCCCATCCTCCCAGCAGGCGAGGAGGGCTGCGGGAAGGCCTTGACTTTCAGTAGCTCAGAAACCTTGGCCACGAGGCAGACGGTACAAGTAGGTGGGTGCTGAGTCCAGGGACTGGAACACCCTGGAGATGGGGTTTATAAATCTTCTCCCTTATCCTCTTGGCAAGGACTGTTTTTCAGAGAAAAAAAAAAAATACGTGAAGCAGTCTCGTGCTTCCTATCTAACTGTTAAACTTGTTTTTATTGCCCTGTTTTATTAAGTAGCCTTGCTAGGAAACCAAGAGGCCATTCCAGCTCGTGACTGGTAAGAACCTATTTGCCTTTCTGGAGTTCAATGCACTCAGCTTAATACTTTGCAGTAGCCAGTAGAGATTGCCAATACAGAAGTCAAATGACTTCCATTAACTCTTGGTGCCTTTGAAAATACATCTCTGGTAGTTTTGCATGATGACCTTCCAGCCTGCTGCCTAATTATGGCTCGATGGTATATTAGAGGAAATCAGATCTTAAATCAGATCTTACAAATCCGACTTTCAGCAGTGGGAGTGTAACCTTCACATGCAAGTGATGCAATCCAGTCCTTTCCAGTTCGTGCCTGTATTTCTTCACATTAAGGATCTTCAAGTTGGGGAGGATTATTTTTGTTCTGCTTTTAAAGTGAAAAAAGTTCAGAAAAAACAGGAGCAGCTGACCATGGGCCAGTGCCCAGGCTCTGTCAGCAGCCCAACTGGCTGTACTGATGGACCAGCTCTGCCTCCCTACCTGTCGCTTGAAGAGTTCAGTGCTGCAGCATTCCCAGCTGGGGACCTGTCCCCTTCCCTGTGCCAGGGCAGCAGCATCAGGGGACGGCACTATCTGGTGCCTCCTCGCTCTGAGTGTGGGCATTTTGGGGCCAGGGTCAGATTTGGCAAGCATTTTTCTGTGGCTGTTTTGGGGTTTTTTTTTATTGTAATACAGAGAGAAGAATATTCCTGATGTCTCAGACTTAGATAAGACAGTTTGTCAGTAAAGATTTAACATCCAAAATAAATCAAAATATAACCGCAGTTCCTACATGATACCCCAGAATTGGGAGTGACTTGAAAGGGAAAATAAATTAACAAAGCTAGTTCTGTCAGAACGGGAACCGAAACAGTATTATTCATTTAAGGACAGTTTCACTTTTAAGAAGCTTAGTTTCTTTTAATAAGCCAGGATTGTGCTAGTAACGCTACTAAAGAGCTTATATTTAATGCTTCAATCTGTGCCATTCAAATGGCACAATTTCCACGCTACCTGTCTTTGCATTAGCACATATCCCAACTAAATCCTAAATCCTGCAAATGAGGAGCTGCGCTCTGCTTTCTGTTTGATCACATTTAGAGTAATTTTGTGTTTTATTCTGCAACGTCGAGGAGAAAATGGCTGAATCCTGAAGAGTATTTGTGCTCAGCCCAGCTCTCCATGCCCGGGCCTTTGCTAGGTCTCCCAAGTGCTGCGTGATGGAGGCTTTGGTGAGGAAGCCCTGTCCAAGGCAAGGACGTACTTGGTCAGGGCTTACTCATTATCCTGCTCACGTAGCAGGGATCATCCTGAATAAAAAGAGCCATAATTGGAGCCGTGCCCATTTATGTATGGGAGTACAGGGTTTTTTTAATGACCACCGTTGCTTGCTTCATTAAGGCAGGAAGCACCTGGGTGCTCCGCCACCTCCTCCGAGATGGAGGCTATCAAACCAGCTTGGCTGAGGATCGGTTGTGCTGGCAGCACCTTTGAAGCAGCCCCCGGGCAGACGGTTGGGATTTCAGCTTCCCGAGATTGCGCATGCAGCTGGCTAATGGAGCGTCCTCTGCCTGTCTGCAGGCAGAGATCGTTACAGGAAAAGCAGAGAGTTTTCACTGCACATTGTCCCCAACAGCGAAATAAGACTGATTGCCACATGCTGTTTTTCTCCGGTCATTCAGGTTTGGACTGTTTCACTTCCCGCCTTCGCTTTTCCTTATTATTTTTTAAAAATATAAAATGTCTGGGCAGCACAAACAGGTTCCCTAGCAAAGGGGGAGCTGAACACTAAAACTGGGTGGCTACTTTTCTTAAAGTTTTGAAGTAAAATCCTTTTCCAAGAGTTTTCTTTAGCACAATAATGCAAAAGCAATGAGAGAAAAATGCTTGAATCTGAATGCTTGAATTTAAAAGAAATTGAAGACTGAAAGAGGGAGGGGTGATTCTGACATGGCCTTTGTAAGCTGTGCCAAGAAGGGCTCCCAATCCTGCTAAAAGAGTTAACAAAATCCTTGTATTTTTCTGAGGCTGGGTTTTCAGATTCAGGCCCATAATGTATTATTTCTGCACATTTATGTTTTTATAAAACTACTATGGTGATGATTTCACTGAATCCAGGTCCTAGCGATGAGTAACCTGAAAAAGTTTTACCTGTGGCCAGTGCTAGCCATTTGTTGGACCTTTGCAACCAAGATCAGACATTTTCCATTACACTGGCTACTGCATTAATAGTTTAGGGGTGGGTGACCCCCCAATCTTACCCTTAATGGCCTTTTCAGAGAAACTTAAATAACCCCCACTGAAACACATGGGGAACGTGTGGAGTTCCCATGTCAGGGGCATCTTTCACCAGCACCGAGCGTGCTTCATGATCTGCACAATTACCAGGCAGCACTACGAGCACCCTGTGGAAACTCCCACCTTCCGAAGTGCTTCTATTTTAGGTAGGCGACGTGTTCTTTTATAAGAGGCGGTTTTGCATGTGCCTTTGTTTTACAGGCAGAACTTGTATTATGCATTTCAAGACATTGTTAACGTTTGTATTTTATGCCGCGAAGCCGAATAAACCGTTGTGATTTGTAGCCCT